AATTTGGTGATGATTAGCAAATTATACGATCTAAGCCGTAATTGGAAATATATAATTACTAGGCCAGGTTTATTAATGCAATTGTGGATTTATCGATATACACAGATGATTCGTCAATAATTACGACTTTTGATCATAGAGCATTTTAATAATTAGCTTTTAGTGAGAAAGAATTCTTCAGACTTTTCAATTATTTATGATGCGCAAGAGATGTTTATAAACTGAATAGTAAAGTCTAGAATTTACCCTTAATAATCATAGTTGAATAAGAACATAAGATCGCGCAGGGAAAGCTTATCACCCTTAACGACCTTGTTTTCCAAGACGCCATCCGCCAATTCTTTCTATAATGATCATTAGTAAATACTCGGGTAATGAGATGTGACAAAATTTCAGTTGGAATCGAATTTACCTTTTTCTGTTGCAACATCATTATACGATCTTCAACTGTATCCGCAACTGTTATTTTGCTGACATAGACCGCGGACATTTGACCAATTCTGTTCTCGCGCAAGGAAAAATGTTAACGAATTGAAAGTTGTATATCGGAATAAAAACATTTACACTCACCTGTGTACCCGGTCAATTGCCTGATTCTCAACAGCTGCATTAACATTGTTAAGGGAATTAATAAAAGGATTAATGTTACTGCTCGCAATTTACGTCTTAGAAATCACTCGGCAGAGTCACCGAAACAAGTTTGCTTACCAGGATTCCACCTACATCGTAACCGAGAAATATTTGTTAATATGAGTCTCGGTTATTTTGTTATCGTATTCTAGAATGACCTACCATACATCCAAAAGAATAACATAATTTGCACACGTCAAATTGAGACCAAGTGATCCACATTTGAGAGAAAGCAAAAGTACAGTGATATTATCTTGTTCTCGCAAAAGATTGAGGTTGTTGCTACGCTTCTTTTCAGGCATGCTTCCATCATCTGTTTCATTAAACACTGTTAAATTCTGTAACCTCAAGTAATACTATCCTTCATAGTCGCTCATACATACATCTTACAAATTCAAAGCCGGCCCTGGTTAATGGGTGTTCGATTAAATCTAACATGCTGGCGAACTGAACAAAATGAAGCATTAGTAAAGAAGCAACGATCATAAAAATAATTAATGCTAATTGCGTTACCTGGGAAAATATGATCGTCTTTGCCCGAGGATTCTTAAGCCGGGTTGTAGACAGTATCTCTATCATTTTATCAATTTTCGCTGACGACACAAAGCCGTCATGCGTGGTCGCCTTCCGCACAATCTCTATGGTGCATTTTGCACAATGTACTTGTTCAGATGGATTTAGTCTAGAATGACCAATATGAAACTGTAAGTCACACGTCACATTCTGTAAGCATAAAAGAGTGTCATGTAATTGATTACCGGTTGAGGCAAATCGCACAGCATTCTGACGAATTGCCAACGGCCATGCTTGTCATCAGCTTAGCAAGATCGTTTATTTCTTGGTCTCGGAATTCATCTGACTTTGATACAGATTTATCGTTTGTGTCCTTTCCGGCAACTTCTTTTGAAACAAGATTCGGATGATTACAAGCTTTCAAAGAAGACATTTAACACTTTAGTAAAGTCGTCATTAAATTTCAAAACCAACATATACCTCCAAATTTTCGATGGATTTACCCTGACGTAACCTTAATAACAAAACAAGGATATTGGTATAATTGTTATTAAGTGTGCCTTCTTTGACATATCGATTTAGTGTCAACTGCGTCCGGTTTGCAAGCGATTGATAAAATTCGCGCTCCTCGGGGGAAAACTGGATGACTATATTCTCAACATTTCGTTCAGGAAGTGTAAGCAATGGTTTACCGTCGATAAACGTATTCTTGGTGCGTCTAAGCATAACAGCCTTCAGTATTATCTAATAAATATGTATCCTCAATCAGAAAGAGTATGCGTCTTACGAAATATCAAGATATTTGAAATATTATTTGCCTGTAATCGTTTAAATGATGTCCCTATTCGTCCGTACTGTATTGGTTGCATTATTGTCTTTTTGAAAGTGTCGTAATCGTTAAGCGGCTCTATCCTCAAAAACCGAAAAAGACTATACAGCTCATCTAGATTGTTCTGAAATTTGGTCAAGTTATTACGAGTTGGAAAAACATTATCAAGATTTCCTTCATGTAGCGTTGTAGTACCTGAATCGGAGTTCCCGTCAAGCACCATCTTTTTAGCCCATCCAGTGCATAACAGCCTTGAGCCGCTAAGGTATTTCTATTCTTTATGTATTGAGCCTCATCTGAATCAAACAATAAAAAGGTTCAATTGTATGCGTATACCGAATATCATCCCTTCCAACCTTCGTTCCACGTACCCAAAACAATACGATGCCACTTGGCCTTAAACAAGGGTCCAGCATCTTTCAAACTAGCGGAATTATCTTCGTCTTTCTTCTTTCCCTTAGATTTCGGCGGAGCAGGCCATTCACTACCAACCACTTGATAAGTTGTAATAACTACATCATACTTCGCCAATTTTCTTGAATCTTTAATCAATGCAAAAATAAACAAAGGTTCGATATGAGTATGTATGCTTCTAAGAAATAAACATAGAGCTTACTACAAACCTTTCGTTTTTGCCGGACCATGATGTAGGTACACAGACAGCGAGTCTTTTTTAGTTTTACTGGTAATTTCATTGTCCCATTGACGAATGAGTGACAAGGGAGCAACAATTAGCGTCATTTTCCTTTCCTGGTTCGGTTTGCTTGACAAAATCAAAGCAAGCGTTTGAATCGTCTAATTAACCAGTATCAATTGTATCATGAGTAGCTATAAGTATAATATTAAGAGTCAAGATGAATAGCAGACGTTACCTTTCCTAGACCCATCTAAAGCCAAATGTGACATCAAGAAGCATTATTAAAATTTGAAACAGCATCAAATAACACTTTTCTTTCCTTATAGACACAGACATATATAACCAACTCACATCCTATAATGTCAATAGTTAATAAATAAATTTTATTACTTTCAGTCAAAAGCATGGCAAAACTTTGGGAGCGAAAAAAATTCGTAATACATCAGCTAGTATGCCACCGTTCTTCTTTCCCTCTTCGCGATCTTTCATCCAGTTTAAACCCTGCATTTGATGCCTCATTAGGCTAATGGTCATTTCGGGAGGCGTTCCCTCAGTGAGGGCGCAATCGTCAACCTCATCCGGAATACTCTCCAAAAGTTCGCGTATTTGATTTTGCGTATCGCGCGGATCAAAACGAGAATACCGACTGTCATAAATCTGGTCGTAATTGGTCATAGTACTGCATACCAAGAAGAGCATTGTTAAACGCGTACGTATAGCGATATCATGGATAGGAAATTGATAAAGGTTGTCAGCAATCTAACATATCTCGTGCTGACACGTACCTTCCACGGACACTTGACGCTGGCTTAAAAGGACCACTAATCGAACTTCCTAAACGGGATATGCCTATTAAGAGTTGTAAGCAATCAAAATAAAAGTAAAAGTGCGGTTCCACTTTAATAAGAAGCTTTCGCCCAAAGGTTCCTCAATTATACTTACCAACATTGGCGGCATTTTCGCTGCCATAGGTTCGCGATTGCAACTTCATGCCCCACGATGGTACCTCCAACGGCTTCTTCATTTGAGCCTGACTCTTGGTGTGCATTACGGGGAAAACTTCAGGTTGCGTGTTGCTTTCGGTCAACTCTGTCAAAGAAATATGCGTATATTAAGCCAGAGGCCGAAACGATAACGTGCCAATTCTGAAAACTAACCTCCAAGCGCGGAATGGATTGTTTGCTTTGTAGTGGGTTCCATTGTGTAAATATTGAAGGAAAGTGGTCAAAAATCAAGAGTGTCGCGCTAATTGTTTTAGAAATCAACCTTATTATTGTCACATGATTGAATGGCCTTGTCGATCGTTTCCTAATACTTACTATAAAATATAAATACGCACATAATAATAATAATGTCGTGGTTTAGTGACTAATTAATTATGACCACAACATCTGGCAATACTTCCTCGTTAGAGCCATCGCCTGTATATCCTATATTTTCTGCATTGACTAATCAGCTGATTTATTCAAATGATAATGACTCCGCCCATTGGAACAAGAACATCGAATTGAATGTGTAGTCTAACTTTATGTAAAGGTCAATATTTCGTATCAAAATAAAATGCTACTTTCGCCATGTTTTGCAGCTGCTATTTAACATATTCACAAATTTGCGTTTGTTATCTGGATTCAATTGAAACCTAGTACAGAAATGCAAGTTATTTCTGACAAGTAAAATAAGCAACATGTTTTCTGTACCTAGTAAAAAAAATTTTTTGCTTGTAGATTATCTAATAATACAACAATACAATAATAATGAGTAATGTTGTATTTTTCTTGCAGAAAAGCACTGTTCAAATTTGTAAAGTTATTGATTACAGACTTGATGGCTTTGGGTGTTGTTCAAGAAAGCCACAGTTCATAACATAATAAAAATTTTGAAAGAAAAGTATGTAGGAAAAGTTGTGAATTATCCACCAAAACAAATAGGTGGCAAACAGCCTGCTAAATCTAAGTTGAACAAAAATACAGAAAATCTACCAAGTCTTTGAAGATAACGAGGATGGCAAGGACTTCAGTAATGCTGAATGACAGTATTAAGTATGTAAAAGATTGATATTATTTTCATTATAATATATATTTTAATCACAATGTTTTTATGTTCTGAAAGAAATTTTCTAAAACAGAAGCCAAGCCATATTCTTTATGGCTGTAAAAATGATATGTGCATAGTTGCAAAGTAAATCGTTCTTGTGACCAGGAGATTGAAATTTGAATCAGCCTGATTGCATAATATTCAAAATAACAAATGCTTGTTGTTGACAATATTTTGTTTTCATTATGTTTTCTGTTATTATTTCAAGTACAATAATGTTAAGATTGATAATATTATTGTTGAGACATCGTCAGTGAGTATTCTTCTATTCATTGCATACCATTTTTATTTTATAAAGAAAGTTAAAATGTCTTACTATTACTACTGTGAGCTATTTAGTAATTAATATAAAATTAATTTTACATAAAATCCACTATGGAACTCAAGAATTACAGCACCAATTATATTTTGATCAAGACATCTTTGTCTTTTGTAATCCAAAGGACGAGGGGTTAGTACTAGAATAGAAACAGGTTTAATTTCTTTGACAATTTCAAAAACGAGTGCTTTTCTGGTTTTCAATAAATTAAATTCAGTCAAAGCACCATTACAACCATCTGAGCCTCGACAATTCAGGATTAGCTGCTTCAAAAAAAAAATACTGGTATTTTTGTAAATCACTCAGTTTCTTAAAGAAATTTTCAACACGAAATTAATATTGAATTGTCATAGCACTGAGCCTTGTTAATCTCGTGTATTTGATTTTTTCACAACCTCAACAATATAATCCACACAATCTACTGTTGTTTTTCTGTAAAGCTTTTTAATCAGTCCGAAACTACCATCACATTTGAATTTAGTATGTCTAGGTATCATAAATTTAATTCAATACTCCGCAAATTGTTAAATATAAATAAAATCGAATGGCAGCATTATTTTATTCTGTTCTCCTGTATTACACGTATCTTTAAATATTTTTTACCTTTATTTATCTCTTAATTTCATCAAATACCAGGCTCAGCGTACCATTAGGATAATTACGTCTTTATCGAGAATGTAATTAATTTGTTCGCGTACTGCTTTATCTTGGATACTAAATAAATGCATCTTACGCGGACTGAGGTAATAAATTTTATTTACCTGTTGATCGGAATGTGATACGTAAATATTTTGTGCTCTATCGTAATAGTAACTGTAATGGGCAGTAGCGCCAATGCTGCAACAATCAACTTTACTTCTCGTTATAAAATGCTCATTTACTAATTTCTTTGTTTTTTTGCTAATTTCGTATTTTTGTGGCAATAATTTCTCTCTAACTTAGGTTTTAACTAAATGTTTTTTGAATTTTTTTTTAGTAAATCTTTCACTTCTTTTTCTTACCAGCGATGTATTTTAAGCAGTTCCGAAAACGTTGACACGTATTACATAAATCGGTTCTCGAACTCATGGTTTGAATATGAGGAGTTAATTTTTTTAAAAAATTTTTCACGGCAACAGCAACAGTTATATCAATGATTATTTTGGTTTTCCATTGCGGTACTCGTTGATGTTACCATATCACTTATACGATAATGCAAATGCATTATACGGTACACAGTGAAATTCACTTTAACAAACTCGTTCGTTCCGCAAAATTTCTTCGTTAATCTGAAAGATTCGTTATTCTGAAAGTAAGTAATATCTCACGTGATTTTAGTCAATACGAATATCCAATAAAAATTGTTGATTTTATATGGCGATCAAACTTGATTAAATGTAATCATGAATGACTGTTTGTCTTCTTCTCTGCCAAGAATACTTTTACGTAACTTGCTTAAAGTTTGCAATTCTATATTTAATTCCTCTTGTTGTAAATACAACAGAAGACTGTCAATACTATTAATAGCTTCTGCTGATGACACCTTTCTCACTTCCTCCTCTTCTTCTGAATGTCCTTGAATAGTGGCTACAATTTCTCTTAAAACGCGTAAGTCTTGTTCTTCATTATAATCAGTGACATTATAAATGCCTTCCTTCGTTGTTTCTTTGACACGGATGTTTTTTTGTCTTTGACACGACGTTTTTTTGAAGTTGATTTGAGCATCTTTGTTATTATTTGAGACGAAGAGCAAGCGTATAATAATATAATGAACAAGAGAAATGCTTTTAATAGTCTTAGTAGCAAGAAGACACCGCTTTAAATCTTTATTTATGAGATTGAGATCGATGATTCTGATTAGTTAATCCCTATAACGAACTTCGTTATACAAAATAATTTGCCCAAGTAAATGGCTTTATTTATGCATAAATTTTGAAATGTTCGTTATATCGTTATACTGAATTTACATATAAATGTTCGTTTATTTGAAATTATTCTGTTAAGAACGAACTGGTTCCAGAAAAATACTTCGTTATAAGCTATCTTCGTTAAAGTGAGAGTTTGTTAAAGTGAATTTCACTGTGTAATAACAAATGAGTCTTCCAACAAGATAATGTGATGTTCAAGTGATTTGAAAGAAAACGAATTCCTTGGCCTTCATACAGCCCATACCTCAACCCAATTAAAAATATCTGGGTTGTTTTAAAAAAGAATGTTGAAAAAAAGGTCAAGTCTATATAGTAGCGCAAAAAAATAGATATTAAAAGATATTTTCTTGCCATAATTAAGGAGGAGTGGGATAATCTGGACAATAATGTAATAGTTAACAGCATCAAAAGCATGCAAGATCGAATTAAAGCATGCATTGATGCTGAGGGTGGTCACACTAAATGTTAATTTACTAATAAAAGTTGTAGCATCCATTGAATACCATGCTCAGGGTACCATTAGGATCTTTGCCGATAGTCTTTATTGTTAAATAAAAAAAGGTTTTTACAATTACATTTGTATAAGTTAAGAAAAATTGACCGCCATTACTTTGCCAGATATGTAATAGTAAGACATATCATAGCAAAAGACATACATTTAAGCACGTGTTATTCAAAAAACGTATGGATATGATCAACCCGAGATTCGTTTATTAATATACATCAATAAATGCGTTTATTTGCACGATTAAATTTTATGACTTTTATCTTCAACTAATACAGTATACTAACTTATCATCTGGCTTATAGTCTGTCATTTCTAGGCGGAGGTTGATACCACCTAAGTTTTCTGCCCTGTTTGATGTGTAATTCTTTAATTCTACAGTCAAATTGCCTATGTCCCATTTTTCCACAGTAAAAGCAATGCATGTTCACTACGGATTGTCTAACATGCTCTGGTCTTCTCCATTGATTTTGTTGGGCTGGTTCTTTCATTTCCAGTTGCTTGAGTTTCTCTCTTAGCTCTTTAATTTCTGCTGTTAAAGCTTCATTTACTTCAGTGGCTGCCATTGATGGTTCAGGCTGCATTTCTTCTTTTACAGCTCTATAGTGCGCCTTGGCTGTAGTGATTGCTGCATTGAGGTCAGCTGGCATGGTCTGTTTAACTGACATTCTGATAGCAGGAGTTAGCCCACTAAGGAAATTCTTGAGCTTATGGTAGTCAGTCATCTCATTAGGGTCACATTCTTGCCAAATTCTTCTGAGTGCTGCAATGTACATATCAATAGATTCTCCTGGTTTCTGAATCCGTCTTTCAGCAATGGTTAGAGCTTCTTCTTTGGTCTCATTGTTGAAAAATTCAGCAAGAAAGTGTTGCTTAAATCCGTGATGTCCTGCTCGAGTATTATCCCATTGTACTATGGCTGGATTATGGTTAGCTAACCAGCTTTGAAAAGGTCCCATGTGGTAAGAGGCAATGCCTAAGCGTCTGGCATGGTTATCAGCTGCTATACCATTTGCAAGCATAGCTCCTTCCATTTGAGCTAACCATGACTTGGGATTAGTGCCATCAAATACTGGATAAGGTATGGTGGCCATATCTTCTTCTTCTTCTTGTTGCTGAGGTGGGGATTATTAGTATTAGGCGGAGGGTTATTAGGTGGGTTGTTAGGCGGATTATTTGGCGGATTGACTGGTGGTGTCGAGCCAATATTCCTGGGAGAGCGGCGGAATACTGACCTTGAGATTTAACTCTTTTCAGGCGGAACCTTTCGGTAATTCCTACTCGAATTAAATCTACCAACAATTAGTGACGCTTAAACTACGATTTATACTCACGATCTTAATTATCGTTCTTGTATACGTTCTCCTGGAATTATTATTTATCCTCGAGATTCACGT